CATTGGTCAAAGCGTTGGCCAATACGCACAGACAGCAGTTTAAAAAACGACGGGTTGTTCTCATCAACAATCTTCCGATGTCTCATTCATCGGGACCAGATTAAATTACACATTTAATCTCACATTTAGTCTGGTTTATCAGGCTAATTATGTAATACTTTTATTAATATTTTTATTTATCTTGCTTAATGTTTTAACCTAAATTCACTTCACCTTTATTAAACATCAAGTAAATGTGTGTGCTGGACCCCAAGACCCTATTTTATTTTACTGGAGCCACAGTTGATCCTTAAAGTTCACCAGGAATTGCTTTCATTTTTAGGGGTGTGCAGAATTCAGTTCTTTTCAATTGGGGCTACAATCAAGTTTTCATAAAAATAAGTTTTTATTTGCTCATTTGCATCCCCACACAATGTCTAAAGGGAATCTCACAGAGTTTGCAGACCATGTTTTAAGGGTGTACAGAAATGATTTAGCTTAAACAGGACGCAGGATTCAGGCAGACAAATACAAATCCGAAGTTTGATAACCAAAGGTGCTGCAGAACAAATAGTTCAAGAAACTTCAATTCAAATTGCCATATGAAAACTAAGATAAATGTAAATACAACAATAGTGATCTACCCTTACGATGCATTCACAACACAGTGGATTCACATAGAATCCCTATGCAACCCAAGGTGGTTAGAGGGAAAGGTGGTGAAGCGGCCACCGGTGAACTCCACACGGTGATAGCGTTCACCGCTCTGCCCTCACCTCATGCTACTAGATAGAGCTGAGGTGTTTTGAAACGAGCTGAACTTTTCTAGGAAATTGCGACATGATATGCAATCAGGGACTGGATTAGGTGAGGCTTTTTTCACTTTAAATGGAATACAGAGCAAATAATCTACAAAAAATAAAATAAAATAGAAATAAGGAATGCTCTCAAGAGGTCTTTAGGTGGCTTTAAAAAAAGCCATTTTAATTTAGTCCTAGAAGTACAGTTAACCATCCTCACTTACCTCCAGCACAGTGCCCGGCCTGTCACTCCCCACTGCCCAGCATCAGTGCTTTCTGATGGGGTAGATTTACAAGGAAGTCCCGCTGAATCCAAAGTCAGAGCTGCATCTGAATGAACCAAAGACAATTTTTTTCTGAGCTTTTGGGAATTTTCTAAAAGAGGATTCAAAAGTTGTAAATAGAGAACAATTTAGCAGCAGTCCTTGATCTTAAGTTTCACATGTGCTTTTATTGTAAAATGATGACAGTGAGACCTTGATAGGAAATGACATGGGGTTACCGGGGTAATGGCAGGTCCAAAGCGAAAGGTCTGGGAGGCTGGTAATTCCAGCTCAGGAATGACATGTGATGTTATGTAATAACTTTATCTCAGGAACGAGCACACTAATGTCTGCTGGGATGGTAATGTCATTGGTCATAATAAAAAATTATTCTATCTTAAAAACCAAAGCAGCACAAATGGCAATTTTACTTGGACAAATTAAGTATAACTGAAAAAGTAGGCTAGATAATTTTGATTCAATTCTGAGCTTAATGTAGTGATAGTTGACCTCTGGCTGACCTAAAAAGTCTTTAATATCTCTAAAACAACAGTAACAGATTTTTACAAATGACTAAAGGGGAACACTGTTTTTTTTACATTGGGCCCTTGATTTTACGTTATTACGTTATCACATCATGTTCTACTCACCCATATGAGTTTTGTGTCATTTGGAGCTGTTCTGAAGATATTCGGTTAGGTTATAACCAAATAACATCTTCCCATGGGCAAGTGACTTGAAGGCACAAACTAAATTGATCATAATTTATTATTTATGGTATGCCAGGATTCATAACATGTAGGCGTCTCACTGTCCCCCAGACATCCGCGGTTATATTTTTTATATTTATATCTTTTAAAAACAAAGCGGAGTGTGTATGACGTCAACATATATATGACGTGCTATATATGACGTGCGCCGGACTGGGGTTGTGACAGGCAGTCCGGGCCACAGGCAGCTACGCTCTAACCCTTCTATTCATTCGGCTAGCTAATCTGAATCGTGTAATTCCATTTTGAGAGCACGATCATCTGTGGTAGTAGTACCAGACATCTTCCAGGCATGTGAGTAAAACTAGCAGCAGTTCAGCGGACAGGTTGAATGGTAGCCGGCGCGAATATGGGTGAGTAGAACATGATGTAATAACGTAAAATCAAGGGCCCAATGTAAAAAAAAAAAGGTGTTCCCCTTTAAGTGCACAAACCTGCACTAAAGAAACACTAACCATTCAATCTATTTGCTAAGGGTTTTTTCACATCACTAGGGTTTCAGCTTGATGCAGCTGAAACTACTCCTGTTGTGGTCCAGGGTGTAAACATAGTGCATCTGAAATGCAAAGCATGGAATGCTCAATCACCGCTTCCACCATGTGTGTTCTCAAAGCACTATTAGAAGGACAAAAAAATTAAACATATTTATTGACACTCCTAATCAACAAAATTATACTTTAAAAAATTCTATGAAGTGGAATCAACTGTTCAAAAATATTAGGATTTTTAGTAAGCAAGGCAACTTATCATAGTAATGCAAAACACTCCATGCATTAAACCTGTTTCAACACATTCAACTAGTAAACAAGCAATCCTTTTATATTTGTAGTTAACTACTTTGCAGAAGTTAATATCAATACTTATTGCTCTGTAAAGAAATGACCCATCCTTTGGAAATAAAAAAGCATATTTGTAGTTATTTAGCCAATAATGTATAGTAGTTTATTGTTACTGAAAAGCAAATGATGGAGGACTTGGAACTGGAAACCTACTGAGTTGCTAATTTATCTATTTGTATTTTCTAAATCAAACTAGTTGTAAAGCAACATTAAAAACTAAGCATTATGGGATTTTATTAGTGCATAACAATGTACTTTTGTGTCATTAATGGGTTATTTGCATTTCAGTTTAATCAGAGAAAACTTGTTTGTGAAGAGAACCCATATGTTAACTGCACACCCAGAGAGATGTAAACAATTTACCAGAACATGAACTAGTAGATGACATGCAGCGATGAAACTGACGGCCAGCAGCTGAGTTTAATGGCCTTCATACAAGACACTGCATGATGTCGATGACAGATTGAAAATGTTAAAGATGCTTCATTTGATCCCTGCTTCTCGGTGCCAAGAAGTAATGAACGCTAAGACATTAACAGCTCCCTTTGCGCTTTTCTTCATCTTTCTCTGTGTTATCCTGATCTTGTCTCATCCTACACCCTTTTTTTCCCTACCAAGCAAATATATATGCACACAGGCCTTTTTATCATTGCGTAAATGAAATCAAAGAATAAGGGTGGATGTGGTGTCACCACAGAGCCTCAGATGTTGCCATAGAGCTAGAAAAGAACACTAATGTGGGTTTCGATATTCAGTTCACTTTTATCTTTCAGCTTGTCTTCTTTTATTTGTGGTGTATTTTTATTGCTAGATGCCATGCTGTTTGTTTTTGCATCTGTTGTTTTTCATTCTTTCAAGACCAACTAGCAAAGACCCAAGCATTCATACTGTAAGAAAAAAAAAAAAATCACATATAATATTTTGTTTCTGCATTTTATAGTCACCTAGTTTTCCCTTGACCTGATAATATATATGATTTGATCTGAGGTCCTTTTCACAAAGCAGGTTTAATGAAAGGTGTGTATGTTAGTAAGTTTCTAACTATGAAATAAGGGAAACGAAGAGTTTTCTGGTTCACGAAGAGAGGTTACTGAACCTCTGCATGTGTTGAATTCTATTCTATTTAAAATAAAAATTCTGGATGTCTAGAAATGAATTTCAGATCTCTACGTTTCGGTTGGTAATAGTCATAGTGTTTGTCATTTTGACTATGAAGAGATGTATTTCAGATAAATAAAATGCATATATATTCAAGCTGATAAATGGAAAAATGGAAATGGATAAAATCAGAATGGACAAAGATAAGTAGGCCTACCTGCAGAGAGTTTTGCATTTACTGCAACTCACGTAATCTCACTATACATCAGACAATTTCATCCTCCCCTCTCCCATGACAAGGCGTGCACAAGTCCTATCATGAAAAAAAGTTTAATAGTGCGACCTGAGTAACGTGCAGTAATGGGGTGTCGGCAATGGTAACTGCGTTATAGTTACAGTAAGAGTAATAATTTTGATAACTCGTTACTAAAAAAAAGGTAATGCCGTTACTTTCAACGCCGTTACTCCCATCACTGGGAATAAATGATTGTATGTCCTGTTTCTCTGTATGCTGTGCTGTCAGGGACTGGCAACGTGTCCAGAGTGTAATCCTCCATCTGGCTAATGACTGTTAAAGATATAGACCCCTGTCCTCACAACTCTGCATGACCAAATTGGTACAGAGCACAAATCTTTTTGCTATTATTAGCATTTATCTCATCCTATGAAATATTCAAGTTAAATGAAAACAAAAATGCAAAATAATAAAAGATAAAATGAGGGAAATAATTCTTAACTGTGGTACATATAGGATAGCTGTGTGGTCTTTCATTGACTAGGCCTCATTCCGGTTTACACACAAACTCATATACAGCAGTCTCTTGATTGTGTTGGACAAGATCTGAAGTCAAGTATGAATACAGAGGATGACAGGCCAATTATCAGATGCGCTCTCTGTTGTGCATCTTCTCCTCCAACAGGAAGCAGATGTGAGAATCCTGTCACTTTCACTAAAGCTGATGCAGTGACAGGGACCGACAAGAAAAGGTACAGTTTTCAAGAAGAATTGAGGCGGACAGCGTTATAAAGCCAGTATCCTCAATGAGTTTATCTTATCACTTTTAAAACTTTGGACGATCTACTGTTAAAAGCGTGAAGATATTTGTCATAATATAAAACATAATGGATCTTTCTTGGGTCTATAAATGTCTTAGATCAGTGTCCAATTGAATCATTTCTCCATTTTGTTTACAGCTTGTACCCTACAATCATTGAGTGAGTTCTAACAAAGAGCTTGTGTTTGCTTTGCAGGTGAACATAGTTCCAGCTTGCGTCAGAGCCTTGACACAGATGCTGTACTGTCCGTACTGCCGTGGCATGCCTGGGCTAAAGCCTTGTCACAATTACTGTTACAACGTTATGAGGGGCTGTCTCGCAAACCAGGCAGATCTGGATACTGAATGGAACCTGTTCATTGGTGAGTTTACACTTAATTGCATTTCTGCCTTTGTTTGTTTCTTTATATTAAATTCATCTGTGTTTTTATTTGCTAACCTGGGTTTTTTATTTTATTGTGCCTGTTTCTATGTCTGTGTATGGCAGTCATGGAAGGAAACTATGTGATGCACTCAGCTGAATTCAGCTTTAGAGGATTTGCAGAGACAAAACTAAAATCTTATTTGTGCAAACATTTCCTTTCTTTTTTTCTGTCTGAAATGTTTGCTCTTGCTGGAACCCTGGCATGGTGTTTAAAGCTGTGTTCCCTGCTGTTTGGGATTGATAAAGGAGAGCAGATCCTAGGCAAACATATTTTCTATAGTGTTTCCAGCTGAGCTTGGTGAGTAATATAGCACTTCACTTCAACTGTAAGTAGCTGGCTGCTGTAAGCCCTTCAGTTAAATGGATACCAGGGATGCACATAGAGTGCTCCCTCTGGATCCTTTGTAGACCAGTGCTTTATTTGTTATGTACCCCAATCTCCTCCTCCCTCCTCCCCAATCTCCTCCTTTTTTTTTTGTTTTGTTTTTTTTTTTTAAATGGGGCAACATTTTTTACCACACATCCCTGAAGACCGTCAAGTGAAGTGCACTTCAGAGCTTTTGGCTGTTTTGTGACAAGGCCTGTCATTTGAAAAGTCATCAGATGACTTACCGTTTGTTCTCCTCCATGGCAAGTCTGAAGTCTCAGATCAACACGGGTCCTTGTGCACTGAATGAGATGTCTCACAGCTTTATGACATGTGTTAAAAAGTTAGTGTCTTGTTTGGTGTTGAAGAAGCAAATCTATTGCAACAAAGGGAGGATGTGCCTGACAGTAATGGCATAAGCTGCTTCTGCAACTGAATGAAAAAAAATCGTGTTACCAAAATGCCCTTGAGATATACAAAGTGTTTTTCTTTGTTTCAGTAGTTTAGATAAGGTTTTTTGGCCAATTAAAGGAAATCAGGCATACCGAATTATTGCAGTTAAAAGTGTAAATCATTAACTTTAACCTTTAAGAACTAGATTTTGGTGTCAGTTGAAATTTTCAATTCATTATCAGGTGCTAAAGAATTAGTTATGCTTACAACATGGCTCGAAAGGATTATTGATTTCCCTTTCACAGACAACATTTTACAGGTCAGTCCTCTCCCAAGAAGCACATCTCTGCATTATTGAATTTTATGGAATGAGCTTGTTCACTTTCTGTCATGGTCGTTTCTTAAATTGTCACATATCAAAGAGGATTTCATAAGAAAGAAAAATGTAACATTTTTAGGACCTTATGTTATTTAAAGGACTTTAATATCAGTGTTGATAACAGTGAGACCTGTTATTCTGCCATCATTTTCATTTTTTCATTTCATTTAATTTATTTTGAAACATGATATGATTTAACAATGTTTACATTGAATGCTGCATAAACATGCATCATGTTTCAAAAAGGAGTAGGATGAAGCATAAGCTTATTAGGCCCTACCCCTCAGTTACATGTGTCATGGTGGTAAAGGACAATTATTTACAGTAAGACAAACAGTATACCAACTTTTTATATATTACTCTTTTTTGTATTCATCAAAAATACTTTTCTTATATTCTTTTTTGAATTGCTGGATGCATTTACATTGTTTAATGTATTCAGACAAGCTGTTCCAGAGCTTCACTCCGCTAATTGATAAACTAAAGCTTCTTTTTGTTGTTGGAACATACTTAGTTTTGAAATTTAATTTTCCTCTTAGATTATATTTTCCATCTCTATTTCTGAAATTGATCAGATCTAAAAATTTGAGAATTCTTCAATCAAGAAATAAACAGCGAGTGTGATCTCTATAATGTTTGTTATCCGTTACTTGTATTGCTTTCTTTTGCATAATGATCTGTGGTTGAATGTTTGTTTTGTTAGTGTGACCCCAAACTTCAACACAATAGATAAAATAGGGCTGAAACAATGAGCAGTATAATGTGTGTAAAGCTTGTTTGGTTAGAAGGTGCCAGCCTTTATTTATAACAGCCAAAAGGGATTTCCTCTGATTTCAGAGGAAATCAGATTTTCAGATGCTGGGGAAAAACTCTATAACACGCACTCATTCAAGAAGTGGTGTTGAATATACCCCTGTAACCCCTGCAGGTTAGTTAGTTCATTGTTGTTTTTTTATATTCTGATTTCTGTTATTATTTTTCCAGGCTCAATGTTATGCACCTTTGCAACATCTGTAAACTAAAAAAAATATATATCTAACAGCTTGCTTAATTTATTGAATTAAATTAAAGTTCAACTCAAATTTATAAGATCAGTTAAAATTGTTTCAGTTTACACTGCAAAAAGTGTTGCAATATACCCCTGAAGGATCTTGCAACACTTTTGAGGGATCCTTTTTAGAGAGATTCTTATTTACTTTCGCAAGATAAAAGAGACGTTTGAGACTACGAAAAAAACACCTCAGCAAAACATCAATCTGGAACTTGACAGAACAAACATTTGTTTGTTTATAACAGCTGACAAGTCAGCCTTACTTTCAATAACGGCGGTCACGCTGGTCCATCTAGGAGTTTTAAGGTTGTGCGAATACAGATATTTAGCAGCAGTATTTGAACATTTCCAAGCAAAGCATTTAGAGAGCTGAGTGGGCGGGCCAAACTGAGCCTGCGTGCTGAGCCAGTGACGAGAGGGGAGTAGGAGCAGCAAAGTGATGTAACACAGGTGGGCAGACTGGTGAATCGCCTGCTGTTAGCGCGTGCGGGAGAGAGTAAAATTATCGATCATGTTAAACGAATATTGTCCAATATCAATACCAAAGTTGGTATCGATAGTATCGATCCTATGATCGATACGCCCACCTCTATGCCGAGGCTCAAACCCCAACAGGGATTTCTCATAAAAGGCTGACCAGCAGTTTCTTCAGAGAAGAGGGGAAATCAATATGCAACATACTCATGAAATCTGATGCATTTATGCACATATTTAGTGCAATTTAATGAAACCATTAATGAAGTTAGAAAATGCATAATTTTATGATTTTACTGAAGAGGTGTGCCTCCCTAGTGTTCAATGAGAATTAAACACTGAGTTAGATAGACAGGTCCCTTAAGGTGCTTTCAGTTATGTACCCTTAAACTAACACAGTTATTGGAATTATAGCGTTTAAAGTAGTTAGCATTAAGAAAACTAACTGAATTAATTTCAGTTTTATTGTTAAACGTCAGACTGAACAAGATTTCGAACTCAGTGTCATATTATCTATAGCAGCAAGTTATCTATATTATTCATGTGCATGTTAAATATCTCATTTTAAACTAAATAACTTTTTTTAATGATCTCTTTCTGAGCATTTGTGCATCAAAATCAATATAAGAGCAATCAAAATGAATTATATTCATGCTATATTAATGTAGCAGCAGTAAAGGGAGCATTGAAATGTTTGTCCTAAAGTCAAGAAATTTGCATTAGGACATCGAGTAAAGCAAAGAAATATTACAGATTTTAAAATCTTTGTCTTAAAGTTTTTATTTAATGCACACTTTATTGGAATTTTTTTTTTAGATTTTTGCTGAAGTTGATCATACCAGTCTCCTATGTATAGCACACTATGCCTACTGTACACAAACTCCAAAAAGTTTGTGGGTGTGATTCCCTCTGATTATATATGTCAAGGTGTTGTCACAAGGTGCTGCAGCAAGTAAAAATTATTCAAAGTTCAGCACAGTGTGCACACACCTTATGTTCACCCTTGTGCTGCTCTCAGCCTAGTGCAGCACAAACCCTATCTGCCATTGTACAACACAGAAGAGAATAGATTAGGAAGCAGAGCACAGAATTCACCAAATGTATTGTTAGAGCAGATTAAGAATAGACGAGGCATCGCAACTGTGATCATAGAAACAAACACATGCACAATAATTTTGACTTATTCATCGCATAACAATATTTAAAGCTTTAGCCCTCAAATGCATTAGCTAAATAAAGGGTAAATGTGAGCTCAAGTTGCTATTAGTCAAGACAACATGGAAGGAATAATGCTCTTTGGTTTATCTTGTATGTAACGCTATTCTTAAAGAGAACAGTGATTATAGAATCTATGTCATATATTTAAAGGAACAGTCACTGTGGGGTATTTTACGCTATGTAAAGGTTACCGTAATGACTTCATGCCTTCCAGGCTGAATAAAAGACATAGTGTCAATGAACAGTGAAGGAAAACCTAAGAGAGAGTGTGAATTACTTACTTGAAGTAGAGCTGAGTGATTTTAGCCACCCTGACTTTGTGTGTGTGTGTGTGTGTAGGTGTGGGAAGGTGGGTGTTAAAATATTCAGGAAGGGAATTCATGCTTTGGCCACAGGATGATACTGGGCAATCATTCATCTGCCATCATGATAAATTTACCTAGTACTGCTTCATGACAGACACATCATTATCATTTTTCTTGTCAGCAACTTGTTAAAATACCCTCAGAGAGACAGAGAGAGAGGAATCGTTGGCCAAACAGTACACTAGTTATTTCATCATGGCCACCAGTACTTATGACAAGGGAATCGGATCAGTGTAACATCATCATCATCTCAACAAAAACTGGTCAAAAATAATGAGAGATAGTAACTGAAAACATAATATACTCTTTAGTTAATCAGCAAACTTTAAAAATCTTTAAAGTTATCTTTTAGAAGCCCCGTAATAAATACGTCCAGTAACAGATATTGACATTGTCTTACCATGCCTTGCATACAATGGATAGTTTAATTTAAATTAAATTAAATTCTGTACTCTTTTGCTGATTAACAACATTTTCAAAAAACCCACCTCAGTTTTCCAATAGTTCAGGAGTTCTTTTTCCAAAATGTGAAATATGCAGAATAACTGGCCAGCCCTGCAAATCATGATTCAGTTGGACAAATGGCGGGATACCTACACTTTAGATGTTTTATATATGGGTTTTTTGCAATCCTAAGAAAACATTAATACTGACAACAGAAGTTTTTTTTTTTTTTTCTTTTTTTTGCTAA